GTATGTTAATTGACATTTCTCATGAAGTCTGATAAACAGTTGTAATGCAGTATTCAAGAGACAATATATTATAGCAGTTAGCCAGAGGTCTAGAGAAGCAAAATACATTGCTTATACTCTAAACGATAAGTAGCAGTGTAGTATTCTGGTGAATCATAATAACTGAGATATAAATTCTCTTGTGGAAAAACATCTAGGGAATTAGTGGTGAAGACTTTGCTATTTGGGTCACCTTGCCTTAATGGGTGACAACCTATAAAAATACAGTGGAACCTCTGCTTATGAGTTTAATCCATTTCATGACCTTGCTTGCAACTGGATTTCCTCATTTGCAGAGTCAATTTTCCTCATTTAAATTAATTGAAATGGAATTAATTTGTTCCAGTGGAATTCCAGGCACAAGAAAATACTTTAATAATTTCCTTAATATCAACTCTACAACTTATTTATCTATCACAATTCATGTAATATGACATAATAAACAATATTAATAACATAGAAACATGATATATACACTAGAATGACTAAAATACATGTCATTAGGTATGTGGCTAGTGGTGGTGACAGCAGCCATTGTTGTTGGAGTTTATAGGGGCACCACAGTGGCCATTGCTGCTCCTGACTACATGTGTAGAGAACCTAGGATAACCCAAAAAAGTCAGACAGAGTGACTTATAAGTGCTTCACTCTTAATTCTTCACTTAATTGCTACACTCTTAATGCTTCACTTAATTGCTACACTCTTAATGCTTCACTTAATTGCTACACTCTTAATGCTTCACTTAATTGCTACACTTAATTGCTACACTCTTAATGCTTCACTTAATTGCTACACTCTTAATGCTTCACTTAATTGCTACACTCTTAATGCTACACTTAATTGCTACATTCTTAATGCTACACTTAATTGCTACACTTAATTGCTACATTCTTAATGCTACACTTAATTGCCACATTCTTAATGCTACACTTAATTGCTACACTTAATTGCTACATTCTTAATGCTACATTTAATTGCTACATTCTTAATGCTACACTTAGTTGCTACATTCTTAATGCTACACTTAATTGCTACATTCTTAATGTTACACTTAATTGCTACATTCTTAATGCTACACTTAATTGCTACATTCTTAATGCTACACTTAATTGCCACATTCTTAATGCTACACTTAATTGCTACACTTAATTGCTACATTCTTAATGCTACATTTAATTGCTACATTCTTAATGCTACACTTAATTGCTACACTCTTAATGCTTCACTTAATTGCTACACTCTTAATGCTTCACTTAATTGCTACACTCTTAATGCTACACTTAATTGCCACATTCTTAATGCTACACTTAATTGCTACACTTAATTGCTACATTCTTAATGCTACACTTAGTTGCTACATTCTTAATGCTACACTTAATTGCTACATTCTTAATGTTACACTTAATTGCTACACTCATAATGCTACACTTTGCCACTGCTGCTTCATGTCTGCCACTGCTACCTCATGATGTCTGCCATTACTACCTCGTGATGTCTACCACTGCTACCTCATGAAGTCTGCCACTGCTACTTCATGATGTCTGCCAAAGCTGCTTCATGTTGTCTGCCACTGTTGCTTCATGTTGTCTGCCACTGCTACTTCATGATGTCTGCCACTGCTGCTTCATGTTGTCTGCCACTGTTGCTTCATGTTGTCTGTCACTGCTGCTTCATGTTGTCTGCCACTGCTGCCTCACATTGTCTGTCACTGCTGCTTCATTTTATCTGTCACTGCTGCTTCATTTTGTCTGTCACTGCTGCTTCATGTTGTCTGCCACTGCTACCTCATGATGTCTACCACTGATGTCGCCAAAGAATCAAACATTTATGCTATTTTGAGCTCAATTTCAAGGTACTTTTCATCGTGAAACCAATTAAAATCATATTTATTTTTGTAGTATATCTTCCATTCTATCACATGAGACCAAGTAAAACGAGAATACAACCATACAAATGATACGAAAATATACCACTTAGGGGAGGCTAATGGCAGAGAAATGAACTGTTATTTATGGTCTGATTTCTTTCATTTTTGGTATACGTTAAGACGCATCTTTTCATCATACATTGCCCAAGTTTCAATAAGATAGTCCAACAAACAACTGATATCCAATTCCCTAGATCAAGAGCAAGAGCCCCCTCACCAGTGTCAATTAACCTCCCTTGAGGCCCACTCGCATCTGGAAATTTTGCTCGCGTCTGGAAGCAAAAAATCAACCGAGCAGCTGGTCATGTCTGGGAAAAACTCGCACATGGATCCACTCGTAAGTAGAGGTTCCACTGTACATCATGCTATATCTCTTCTGCCATTGGTAAATAAAGGTAGACTTTTCCAGCAAAAGGAAAAAGTATCACATAGTTCACAGCAATGCCCTACAGCCCATAGCATTTTTTTTATAATTTAATTTTGTGGGGTTAAATTGCTGGGGCTTTCTGACTTAAGCAACATCAGAGGAGTTAATTCAAGGTGACAGGGTTCTGAGTTACTTGTTTGCAAAATATTAAGGTTGTACTATAGTATTTTAAGTTACTTTTAATTCACCTTTATTAGAATTATGGTGTTCACTAAATAACCTGCCTTTTTTTCTTTTTCTTTGCCCCATTTTGGTATTGAAATTCATTTACTATTTATTTGCCAGAAGCAAGGGGCTAGTAATCTCTTCTCCTGTATACATTACTAAATTTAAAAAGAGAAACTTTTGTTTTTCTTTTTGGGCCACTCTGCCATGGTGGGATATGGCTGGTGCGTTGAAAGAAAGAAAGACATACGTACTTTATTTGGTTCTTCATGTAGACATGCAATTTTTACTACTCAGAGGTTGTAGTTTTCTCTCTCTAGCTTCTTGGCACTTCTGAATTCTTACATTACAGTAGACCGTTGATTAAAACAGTTTCTCCATTAATTTATTATCAAATTGCGGCATATTTTTGTTTTACACTTTGTAAAATTCAATTTAAATGGTTCTGCTTCTTAGTAGGGAAAAAATTTTAGTGCTGCAAGCTGGATGGCAGGGATCTTCCCTTCTGTGTAGTGAGTGCACGCCAGCAGTCTGCCTGTGGGTCAAGTCATTGTCTTTCACAGGGGAGGCCCTAGTTTCCTACCCTGCTACCTCCGTACCATTGCTCGGTATATACGCATCCAGCACAGTACCCAGCATTGTCCATGAATCGGGTTTTGGTCTTTTCATTACCATACATTGCATCTGGCAAGGAACCATTGCACCCAGGAGGCATGCAAGTATGCAGGAAGTGGCAAGACAAAGTAAAAAAGTTCAAGTCTTGGAGTTAAGAAGAAAATCGAGATATTAGATAAGCTTAAATGTGGTACCTGTGTGGTGGACATGGCAAGAGCTTATAGCCTTAATGAAGCATCTGTTCATATGATTAAAAAGAGTGAAGCAAATGTATGGGCTTGTGCAATGAATAACCCAGGCTGTCGTCTGATTTACTGACTTGACTGACCTACTGACTTGATTGATTTACTGAATGACTTGACTGATTTACTGAATGACTTACTGACTGACCTGATTTACTGACTTGACTGATTTACCAAATGACCTGATTACTGATTTTCTGAATGACTTGGCTGATTTACTGAATGACTTACTGATTTACAGATTTTCTGAATGACTTGACTGATTTACTGAATGACTAACTTATTGACTGACCTGACTACTAATTTTGTGAATGACTTGACTGACCTAACTTGAGTGATTTACTGACTTGACCGATTGATTTACTGAATGACTTACTTGACTGACTGACCTACTGACTTGACTGATTTACTGAATGACTTGGCTGATTTAATGACTTGACTGATTAACTGACTTGGCTGATTTACTGGCTTACTGACTTACTGATTTACTGAATGACTTGACTGACTGAATTGAATGACTGTACTGACTTGATTGACTGACCTGCTGACTCACTTGATTGGACTGACTGACTGACTGACTGGACTACCATCCACCCCATCCCAGATGGACCTCAGCATGCCTCTCCACTCCCTCCTTCATAATCACTGACAAACACCAGCAACCACAGTTTAAGGTAAGATTATTTCTGTTGCATTTGTAGCCTTGAACTACAGAAAAAAAATATACATAATGACAATGAACAACAATTGCATTATCATTTTTATTTGTGTAAGATTTGGAGACATAAAAAAAAAAAAAAAGCTGTTTGGCTTTTTTGGGGGGTCTTGGGAACGTAACCCTATTTTTCCCTCAAGTTCTTCAGTTCCTTTAACACGGATTTGTCTAACACTGCATTTTCAGGAACCTAACTACCATCTTAATCAATGGTCTACTGTATATTGTGTGAAAGGACACTTTTTTTTTTACAGCTCAGAACATATATTAACCCATAAACAGTCCAAACGTATATATACTTTCTTACCACTAGTGCCCCAAACGTATTGTACATTTTATTTTTCCTTCCTTCAAATTTGTCACGATTGGCCTGAGATGCCTTTTCAGCATAGAATGGGTCTTAACACTCAGTGTGCACTTTATTAAAAAAATCTGGGACCTTGTGGGAACACCAGTTTAAATGAGCACCAGCTAGACCAAACAGCACAGCAAACACCTGGGATTCACTGATTTCATGTAATATTAACTCTCCCATTTTAAGAGGAAAGTGATTTTGACCCTGAGTTTAATGGCTTTGAGGTGGATGTAGCCATAAGTGGTCGAGGAAATATCATAAAACCTCGATAATAATCCATGTGCAATATTTGTGCAACACCCTTTCAGAATGTCTTATGACCTATGCCCTAAGTAAAGAGAAACAATTCTGAAACGTAATACTTGTTCAGCAGGCTGGCTGGCCAGCTGTGTGGCTGGCCGGCTGCTGGCAGCATGGCTCTATCTCCATTTGTCTGTCTGTATCTATATCTATCTCTGTATCTCTGTCCATCTGTCTCTGTCTATCTCTATCTGTCTCTGTCTATCTCTGTCTC